GCTATGGTGACAAAGACGCCCGCATGACAGCCGCCATCACTTCCAGCATTTGGTTGTCGTATGAAAAGTACGGCAAAACAGCGCTCAATGAGGACAGACTCACATCCGTTATGTTCGAGTGTCAGGTCAGTGCCAAACACTTACCATTCAGTTGATTATCTCATGGCATGTGTCCCACAGGAGGGCAATGTGGTGGCGGCCAATGTGGCCAACGTCTTGCTCTGTCTGTTGGCCCGAAAGTCTGTGCCGTTGGGTATGCTTCAGATGAAGATCAAGTCACTGACCGATCACTTGGAGGAACCACTCAATCAGGTGTCCGCCTCTTAAAGCGCCGACACTTAAAGCGCCGACACTTAAAGCGCCAACACTTTTATTGTTTTTTGTAATTTAATTATATATTGAATACAAGTTTTATTTATAACTATATTTTTTGTCACAAAAATCACTTTTTATTATATATACGAGCGTTTCGTTTGTTGAATAAATTGTCTTTTAATTTAATTTCTATAAAAATCATTGCTTTTTGAGTCCATACTATAGGAATGTAATTGAAATTGAAATTAAAAGCCAATGTTTTAAATGAATTCAATGTGTATTACTTTCGTATAGAAGAGCCAATCCGAGTCTTGGATTGCTTTTTGGATCAGTTGTTGGACTCTTTCGGGGTCTTCATCTGAATGACTGTTGAATTGCTTCAAAAGATTAATTAAGAAATTGAAAAGAAATGTATTGAATGGTCAATATTCTGAAGGCATACCCCTCTCACGTGACTTCTGTAGTAGTTCTGGAGATCGGGCGGAAGTTTTTTGATGTTTTTATACAAATGTTTGTATAATTGTAACGAATTCATAGCCAATTAAGTGGACAATTGATTAATGTTGGCTACAAATCTAAATTAATGAACCAGGTAAGAATTAAATAGGAACCGGCTAATATTTAATAATGTATTATATTACGATTAACTTAATTAATGTGAACATGCTAACTTAATTGTTATAAAATTCCTAATTCACACAATTCTTTAATTACAGAATTGATTACATATTCAAATTAATCTCTTGGTTATAGAGTATCATTGAAATTG